CAGCTCCCCCCCAACCCCCTGTGCCCCCTGCTGCCTAGGCTGACCAGAAGCAAATTGCTCCCAGTCAGCATCTACATACGCACTACTGTGCAGTAGCTAATGCATTGTTAATCTAGTACCTGTATTTGTTGGTACTAGCAAATGGTACATTAGGCAAATTTACTGCGCAGTAAGTCCAGTATGTATAGATGGTTATGCTTTACTGGACATTAGATTAGTTTAGCGTGCAGTAAAGTGTATCGCGTACATGCACCCTGAAGTGCTAACAAATTGGCAAAGTTATTTGACTGGTTGAGGAAAATAGTTGCTGAGAAGCTGAAAAATATGGGATTGCTGTGGATGAAGGTGGTAAGAGAGAGAACACAGTGGGCTACAAAAAGGAGCTGGGAGTCAGTATGCAGGCATCTAGCTTCCCACATGATAAAATGTGAGAGACGGCAAATTCAACCAGGAACAAAATTTTTAGCAGCTCTGGGAGAAAGACAGAAAACTGAATTACTTATGTTCCAGATGTTGCCTAAGACAATAGCAAATGAATATGAAATAACTAAAAATCCTTGCATTCAAAACTCCTGGAAAGTCATCCTGTTTAAATTGTTAGACTAACAGAAGTCACTCCTAAATCAACATAGATTGGCTTCTGCCCTCATAGCTCCATTGATGCTCCTTTTACCAAAGACCTGACAGCACGGACACATCTTATTGTTTTGACCATGTTTTCTTTGACTCCCCTGCTGATGCTGGCACTGCCAATCAACTGCACCTTCTCAACTCATCGTTTCCCCATCTCAATTACTGAAATATTCCCTATTGCATTCCCAACATCTATAATAGGATTCTTTTAATTTAGTCAAACCACAGCTGCTAAGACCCATTTTATCTTTATCTTATCCTCTGACAAAAAATGTCAGCCTTCTTTCAGAATTCTCCACTTTCCATTCTTCATCTCCATTATTTTAGTTTCTTGCTTCTCCAATAACCTTCTCAAACTCAGTCTCAGTTTTGTTTGTTTCATTTCCTTGACCAAATAACCAACAGCATTTTCTAATAAAAATCTGAGCTTTGAAAATATTTTCAAACTAATGGGAATAATCTACAGTTCTGCTTAAAGGGTACTTTCTGGCAGCATCCAGACGAGGAGGGGTGTGCACTTGCAGCAACACAAATAGCAGCAGCACAGTGCATACCCTTTGTTGCAGAACAAGCCCAGCTCCTCCCAACTCCTGGCCAGGCTCCATGTGGTATGGGGGGATAGGGGGGAGAGGGGTAGGGAGGAGCTGTCTGGGGTGCAGTGTGCCTCAGCAGGGAGGCTCCACAGCACAAGGCTGCCAAGAGTACCCAGGCCTGCCTGCTCCCCTGTCTGCATGTCTATCCCAGCACAAGTTATTTTAATGTGCATTGTGCTGCATTTTTCCCATTTTTTTTCTTTTTTGCTACCGGGAAATCCTGGTAGTGAATCTTGCCCCTGTGCTGGTTTAATGTGCAATGTGTGCAGTTTGTGGCACCACAAACCACATATGCCTACACATTTGGACGCACCCTGTGGGCAAGTCCAGACGAGCGTGCATGTGGATCTTGCCCCATCTCAAACCCCTTTCAGACGGGGCAAGAGGCATATGCAGGAATGAAAAAATGTTCCCTGTGCTGCAAACTTGCAGCGAGGGGAGAAAATTAGACCCCTGGATATCCAGGGGTCTAAAAAACCACTTCGCAGAAGAGCGGAGCAAGGCACAGTCCCAGACTGTGCCTGGAGCCAGCAGGAGTCAGTCCTCCAGAAGACACGCTCTGGTTTCGCTCTTTGGTGCTCCTGCTGCCCCCGGCCCCCAGCGCTGTCCATGGTATTTTGGGAATGGGGGTGGGAGGTTTATGGGGGTGAGTGGGTGTGAGGGGTGGAAGGAGGTGTGGGGGGGATGTCCCCAGGGCTGTGGGGGGTGAGAAGCTAGAGCAGCTTTGGAGGGACCTGGCCTAGACCAGTGCGGCTCGCTAGTCTGGCTTTGCACCGGAGTGGGTCGTATGGCTTTGGGAGGCATGTATAGGAGCCATGCCTCCCAGAGCCGTGTGACTTGCTCCGGTGCAAAGCCAGACTAGAGAGCCACATGAGGCTGGGCTGGGTTCTGGCCCCACAGGCACAGTGGGGCAGAGGCGGGACGTGGGGTGCTGCCGGCCCTGGGGCCCATCTGCCACCTGGCTGGGCCCATGGTGACAGGACCCAGCGCGGCACGTGTGGACCATGTGCCAGGCCCAGCTGGGTCCTGGGGCCCTCTGCTCCCCAGCCGGGCCAGGCCCATGACAGCAAGACTCAGCATGGCATACGGGGACCATGCACGGAGCCCAGACTGGTCCTGCAAGCCCTGGGGTTGCTCATGCTGCCAGGCAGCACGAGCAGCCCCAGGGCCAGCAAGACCTAGCTGGGCTCCGTGCAGTCCCCACATGCCACACCAGGTCCTGCCGCTATGGGCCTGGCCCAACCAGGCGGGAGAGTAGCCCCAAGGACAGCAGGACCTGGCTAGGCCTGGCATGTGGTCCCCAAGTGCCACTTTGGGTCTTGCTGCCATGAGCCCGGCCCAGCCAGGCGGCAGAGAGGCCCCAGGACCCGGATGGGCCTGGCACACAGTCCCCGTGTGCCAAGCTGGGTCCTGCCGCCATGAGACCGGCCCAGCTGGGTGGCAGGAGCATCCCCAGGGCCAGCAGGACTTGGCTGGGCTTGGCACACAGCCTCCAGGGTGGAGCTGGGGCCCTCCAGGGTGCCTGGGACCCTGGGCGGGGGGGATGGGGCCCTGTAAGGAATAGAGGCTGTGGCCCTCCAGGGGGGAGCGTATGGCTTTGGGAGGCATGTATAGGAGCCATGCCTCCCAGAGCCGTGTGACCTGCTCCGGTGCAAAGCCAGACTAGAGAGCCACATGAGGCTGGGCTGGGGTCTGGCCCCACCG